TGGGGCTTTCCCCGTAAGCTGTTCATCATACAAGTGTGTAATAAAAAAACTTTCTTTTCCGTCTTTTAAAAAATCTTTTTTGTATTTCAGATAATGGCCTCGACGGGATTTAAACAAGGCGTAAACAAGGTGATTCCGCCGATGAAAGGCAGTTTTCCGCTGGATCGAAAGGGCGTATGCAAACAGTTTATGACGAAATGGCAGGAATGCATTGCAAAAAACAATCGCAACAACTCTCTCTGTCACATTGAAGCAGGAGCCTATCTGAAATGTCGAGCTGATCATAACTTGATGGCTCCAGAGGAACCGGAGTATCTTGGTTTCAGTCAGGAAGAGTGGGAAGAGATCGTGAAAGCTAAAAGTTGAGATGACCTGACTGTGAATTCATATATCCCCTGTCATTATACACGTACCTAGAGCTTTCAGCTTTCTTCTATATTGTTTACCGTGCTTGTTTTCGACAGAGGTATACAATATTAATCTTTTTAGTGTTCAGTGTCTTCGTGAGTGAGCACATAGTTTCCCTGATGGGTTTGCCGGGTTTCCTATAAAGATAATTAAGGCGATTTCTTCACTAAATTGACCAGGCCAATGGTATGCCATTCTATACATCGAATAATAAAAGCGTACTCGACATGAACGAGAGAACCACTTTTGTACGATCCTGTCTATGAAAAGGGTGATGCTGACTGGAGGGAATATATAAAACAGCCTCATAACTTCTAGGGAAAAGAACTATGGGGCGAAGACATGGTATACCAGTCTTTGAGGGTTTGTTCAAAAGACTGCCGTAAAGTGATAGCTTATAACAGCAAAATCAAGATGAAAACCGTAGCAGGATCAAGAATCACCTGTTTGGTTGATGGTCGTAAGGGTTCGCAGCTGATGAGTCATACTGCTCTGTTTTGCTGGAGTGGTAGAAGCTCCATTCCAAAAAATGATTGAAGTATCGGGAAAATCTAGCGAATGTGAAAGTCAAATAGTGAGTGATATAGGGTTAGCAGCAGGGAAAATAACCAAGATGTTAATAGACATAGCACGGCATTCAAGTGCTGAGCGCGACTTGGTCTATCTCGAGGGAATTTGTGTTGGTTTCTTTTTTGACACTAGACGAACGTCAACAAATCACCGGTCTGCCAGTTTTCGCANCATCGATATTTTTAAATGGTTGGTGACTGAAATCACCAAGTATTACTACCTGCAATGGAGCAAATCAGCAGTAATATCTTCAGGGTAGGCTGTGATACCACGACGGATATCCGCGGTCTGGTTAAAACCCAAATTCGAATAAGCAGTGATAGTGGGGACACGGACATACGAAGTGGTCATTATAACCCGCTTATGTTCCACATACTCGATCATTACCGCACAAGACTTTGTCACATTGCCCTTGGATGGCTCCTGGGTGATACACTTCATCAGTAGTGACACCTAGATGCACCGTGCTAAAACCAACTTTTTCATTCCACACACGCAATTATGTGACCATCAGTCGAAGTGGTTAGCTACAGGGACCTACTAATGGCGACTTAGAGTATTGAAATGCACAAGATCGTCCATCGAGCAGACATCAGAACAATAACCAAGTTTGTTGTTTGGCCGGATACCAACGATAGGTGGAATAATCATCGACCTAAACCGATGTATTCGTTCATGCAAGCACATCAAGGAAAAAGAACACATGGATGTAAGGATAGCCGGAAGAAGATAGAGCATGAAAGAGAAAAAACACAACAAAGCTAATTGTGACACAAGATATCTGTAAACATTTTCTTCGTGAGTTTCGTTTTTTGTTTTTTTTCTTTGTACCGTCTTTGGAAATGGACGGGTGAATCAGGTGTGATTCGGGGACAGACTGGAGACGGTGACGGGTGACAGACAAGGGATGGGGTAAAAATGCGTAGTGTGTGAAACAACTTCATTGAACAGAAGTAACTTGCCATGGCTGGCCAAAAAAGAATAACGCTGCATATGAGAAAATGTTTTCACGTCTGTGTGAGAGAATATGATAAAGGAGTACGGTGCGCGACCGCGGTCGCGCAAAGACCGGGAATCAAAGCTTCCGACTGGAACTTGGTGACAATAGCAAAAGCATATTCTCTAGCTTCTCCAGTAAATAGTTCATCGGACTGAAAAACCAATACAAGGTCTGCGGAGAAAGGTAAACAGGAATACATGAGATAACGATGTCTATAACCGATTGCGTTTTGTGAGATAAGTTTAATACAAAAAATAACCATCATTTAAGAACTTGCAATGGAACGCCTAGTCTAAATCAGGCACTATGACAGAAGCTGAGAACAAAAAGTGGAAAGTAGTTACAGGTCTATATTCGTTCCTAATGGCAGTGGAGGAATGGGTCCAAGGTACTTGCAGCGGACTCATAAAAACCCAAGAGTCATGATCCCTCAGCGTGTGCAGTGAATAGCAGAATCAAATAAATTATTAGCTTTTATTTACCTTTCACTAAGCAACATTGTGATAAACAGCAGCAGGAGTGAACCCCATCGTCAAATGGAGCTAGTATTCCGTATCGTGAACTGGTAGCCTAGCTCTGAGCATCGAAGAACTGTATCAAATTGGGTTTAGTGGAACAGTCGTGATATTGTAACAAGTGAAACGAAGCTTCTTACTATCTAGCGATCTCATTAATATCAGGTTGAACTAGATTTTTTCATGAGCAATCTGATTAGTATTATAGGCACATCACGATCCAATGGAAGAACTTTTGTGGCGAGCAGAGATTCCTAAAAAGTAAAAATGCAGTCAGGATGTGCAAAAAGGCTCCAAATGGAAGGAAGCACTGATCACAACAAATCTAACACTATTTTAAGTATCAATGAGATTCAAACTGGTCAGGGCAAAGAACCAAATGGAAAAAGGATAAAGTTATAGTGAGCCAGTCAAACATTCATCTATACAATTCGAAACGCACCTTTTTTGAGAGCCAGCCCATCTGTTCCGGATATACGTGGGTCAAACAGGCCAGGACGGCTGTCAGAGAGCAGATCACTGCTGTAAAGAGAATGAAGAACGGAACGTCCTTCTTGGGGTACACAGATATGTTATGGAAGCCTGCAAAACAGGAAACGGAGATCAATGTATTACATAACATAAAACCTAAACCATTTAGATCCTGTTCTAAAGTGTTGTACAAGCAGGGATAAAAGATCAGCTGGGTGACGAAATCCACAGCAAAAGAAGATAAGAACAGGTCATTCTGATAAGAAGACACGAACACAGAGGATTTTATGTATCAGAAACATTGAATCGTGAAACCAAACGGAATTTGAGCTGAACAATCGTTTATCTTGCCGAAAACTGTAGGTTCCAGTCCTGTTACAACTTAAATATTTTCGCTTTTTTTGGACCGTTACGTCCATCTCCATCATCTAACCTCTGACTGGTCAATTCTGTAAATTTCCCAGGTAAAAATCTTAAACTTTCAAGGTCTCTATGACCAGACGGCGAAATGGGATACACGTAGCTGAGTTGAGGCTGTAAATTCGACTTGCTTTCTGCGTCTGGTGCACGTTCTGTTCTCTACCTCCCGTGCTCTCACTTCTCGTGGATGAGAGAAGGCTGACAAAGTTTGTGGCATGTTAAATCATTCGGTCATCATGGATTGGGACTAAAAGAATATCGGGGCTGTACAGGTACTCGCTTCGCATTGTTGACCCCTACCTCGTATCCGCATGTGTTCTCTGGTTGTGCACTCCGTCCCCACGTCGCCACTGCTATCATTTTATGCTTTGTGCCACCTTGTATTAGATAAATGACTTATTGTCCATCTAAGTGTGTTTATCGTGTTGGGTGTACTTCTTGTGAATGATACCGTGCTACATAACACTAATATTAATTCCCGGTCAACTGGTAATTTTTGTCGTATACAGAACAAATGTTGCGCACATTCAAATGCTGCGTCTCGGCCCTTCTCTTATTTCAACACCAAGGCCTTTGATTTTGGTTGTTATAACGGCAGCTTTGGCATTTCTGTTAGATAGCTGGATTTACTTTTTGCATTTGATTGTGTAACCCCAATGATTATATGTGACGTATGTAGTATAATCTTCATATGCGCCCGCGTTTTCTCACATCTGGTGAGAAAGAATCATAACAAATGCTATAGGAACACGAAAACCTCGTAGTGACTGGGAAGTAGCACTAATGTGCCCAAGAAGTGAAAACAATCGGCTCTCCAATCCCTGTGACTTAAAATGTATGCTCAATTCGTTTAAAGGTGTCAGATATTTGGGAGTGAGAGGAAGAACTAAATGGATTAGATGCTGTTTTCCAAACAGGTACTCGAGACTTTAGGGCAAAACATACTTTGCGGTAGCCCACAATGTCGAAGAGGATTTTCTTCGGGAACTCTAACCGGAGCCTTCGACTCAAAAGTCTGAATCACAAGGCAGTGGGGTGTAGATCCAATGCGAGTGTGACCGAAGCAACCGTGTGGGAGCTTCTAGAGACATATTGAGCAGGGCCTTTGAGTTTCGATTCGGTGTATTGTTCGCTGGTGCGTTGATTGACGGTCTACTATTCGAGATTGGCCCTTAGTACCCAATCAGACAAGCAAAACGTGAACGGGACAGCACCTTATTGAACGAGGGCTATCCAGTTAGGGCGGGAGATATGAATCTCATGATTCACATTGAGAAGTACCTCAATGCTACGAAATACTTCTTTAAAGAATCATTTGATGCAAACTGAGTGAAGTTGAAGATTTTGATTTGTTCCGTGCCGACAGAAACACGGGAAAGAAGACCAAGTGTGATGGTATCAGCAATATATGGTGTGATTAAACGCATGTTTACAAACAACAATCACTAAATCACTGTGGGGCATTTTCTTCCGCACCGCTTATCAGTCATCATATTGAACCTCTGCACAACCCGACTATACTCCCAGTGACGTGCCTGCCTTCGTACATAAATTTTTTCCACCATTGTTGGAAATCTGTTTTCATTCTTGTACGCTACTTGAACTGATTAGATGCATGTTTCATTTCACTCAGGTCCATCCATGGTATGATTACTTTTCTCAGTAGGAATGAAATTCAATGAGACTATATTTGCGTTAAATTGTCCACATTCTTTCGAAGATTACCCCGAAGGAAAATCAGACCACAGCACTGTCGAGGTTCTGTCCATTTTATATAGTCCCCGTAACCACCAAAACGTTATTCAAAACAGAATGCATGAGTGTCGTACACGAGTTACGTTCAACTAAAACCAGTTAGTATCAATGGCCGCCTCTTTAAACTTCAACTTTTTGTGGATCACGATGTTTCCGTTTTCTGTGACAACATTATGATGTACGCTGTTCCCGTTTCGGGATTTATCCACAAACAAAAATGCTGTGTCTCCGATTGACTGCAGTATCGCGTAGACAGAAAGACAAGATTGATAAATCCATCACCGTTCTATTCTAAATCACTGCATGTTGTTGATACCGTGAAAAAAGACAAGCCATGGCGTCGGTGGCAAATGGAAAGGGTGATCACTCTTGCACCTTGTGACATCAGTAAATATATCTTTCGTCAGGAGAAAAATTACAGACATCAAGCTAAACGTTGTCAACATTTGACACACTAACTCCGTATCCACCTGTGTAATCCGTGATAAATTTAAACTTTTGCATTCTCACAGCGTCGCTTTTCACAACTCCTTTGTGCCTTGTTTTTTCATCGTCTATTGGTTTGTACGCGACGGTTATCCGATAACTTAAAATCCCATGTAGTTGTGCTAAAAAGCACCGTTTAGAACATGAGTTTTCTTAGTTTTTCATAGCCACGTTACATATTACTGCATAAATTTGCATCCATTTTATACGTCCATAAACGACAAAGTGAATGCAATAACACTTCCCGGTAGAGAATTTGCCTCACGATCGATGACTGTTCTTCGCTATTCTTGATTTGACTTGAATAAGGGGTGCACAGAAAACAGTGCACAAACTGCCATTAAAATTTATTTGTTGGGTTGTTTAACTTTATAACTTCCCGTGAGCTTAATGAAATTAGAGAGTCGAAAATTTCAATAGAAAAAAATGAAGAAAAACATCGAGGGAACAAATTATGAGACATCGGTAGGGGATCCACTTGCGTAAAATTCAGTGGGATGGCAGCAAAACTTACTAGGTAACAGTTCCCGATCAGTAGCAGTGGCTGAATGTGGATATGGATAGAAAAGATTGCCCTTCTCCAGCGGATAGGGAATAAGCCGAAACGTGCCTTCCCAGGTGCAGTACAAGAGATTAATAGCTCCTTCCACCGCTTTCCAATGCGCCAGGTGAAAGAATGCATAAGCAATGGCTTCTGAATCGCCTCGTTTTAATATGTGCTCCGTAGGTAGAATGAGTGATTTCATCTCAAGAAGATACTGGCAAAAAGGAAGAGGGAATTTGTTGAGATGCAAACAGTTTCCAACATACGGTAACTGAAGATTATATGCGCATAAAATAATACAACATAGATGCCCTTTTGAACCGCAATTCCTTTCATGCACTATGGTTAGGGTGAAACGTAAATGCGAGAAAAGGACTATAAAACCGAGAGGTACCGCAAGCTCTGCAGGGTGTCTTGGTAAAAGGATCACCTCTTAAAATGCCCCCAATAACCTGCTCTCACAGTCACTAAGGCAGTTTTAACCAGTCCCCTCATTTGGCGGTATGTTCATGAAAGGTGAGACATCAACCTCTAGAGTCAAACTAGGATGGACAAGCCAACAACTACTAGATAGTTTGTAGAAATATATCCTGCTTAAAAGCCATTACCAATGGGGGATTGATATATAGACCTTATTTTTCACACTAAAATTGACTATTTCCCCCCTATTTTTTATTACTTTTCCAATTATTTTTATAAAATTTAAATTTTCCGATTTTCGCACCTGGAAAGACTCAGTCCGCACCACCAGCCATTCTCGACCCTTATTGGTTCATTTTACTATGACTCATCACTTTCAAGCTAATTTCCAAGGTCATTAATGGCCGGTCCCCAAATTGGATATAAACGGATGAGCTGCTCGTTTTCTCTGTCCTTTTGGTCGATCCAAATATACGAACTCGCCCGAAGGCCTTCCTTGCTTCTTCTTCCTGGTCGGGTTCCGGGGATCGTACTGGTCTGTGGGTCACTCCTCTGGTTAGTGCCCGGTCGTGTCTCGTTTGGGGTACCGCAGTCGGGCAAACGGAACCGCTACTCTATCGCTGGGTCTCCACTGTCACTGGTCGGGGCTCGTGTGATCCGGCCGTTTCGTTCAGCTCAACGTTACAATGGGGATGTTAATTCATTCCAGGATTATTGACCAGACTATATGTTTGATTTGGTTACGAAATGCATTGGGTGTCCGGGACGTGGCAGTTCTTTCCGAAAGGCATATTGTCTGAACAACAAGAAACCGACTCCAATAAACCGCAAACTTGAAGAACCATACCACTGACTTGTGATCAGAGTATCTCGTCAACCCCTTTCCCTCGCCGGCTTGAGCCATTTTTGGTTGAGTATTTTTCTCCAGGGTTTTTGCGAC